ATTGTTTAAATGCTTGACATAATACAATTTGCGCTTACAGTTTTTCTTTTTTGTAACGACTTCTCATTCATCAAAATAAATTGCCATTTCTGGAAAACAGCACTCGAATATGTCAAGCAAAATATTTAGCATTAATTGAAGCTCTGAACTGGGTCTCGTTGGAGATCATCAAAATGATCTGTGATCTGAGAGATCTGATGCTTCCCTCTCTTTCTAAGTGCCACAGTGACATAGTTTCGGTCTCTTTCTACTACTAAGGCACATATCTCTCTTTGTCTCTCTCGGTTGCTCTTTATTTTGATTGAAGCATTTTGCTTCTCAATTTGTTATTATGCAGCGTTTTCATTTTCGCTTTAATCAGTTGCAATTTTGTGGAGGGAATTCTACGGTGCTTATCAAGTATACTCGCCATGCTATCGCCCTAGTATTTGTACTATTTATAACCGACGCTGTTGATTAAGTAATTAATACCCAAACACCCCGGTCGAGTGCCTAACCGTGTAATTGCCCCGATTTCCAATTAAGACAGCTTTACCCAGAGGTGTTTTTCTGTTTCTGGCGAGAGGGAAATCTGCTTCCCTGGAACATAATTCATACCCTCCAATGTCCAATGTCCGATGTGCGCTACCTCAGTAACCATTTATCAAAAAGAGGCTGCCTCCTTCACAACAATGGAAACATTATTCGAGTACAATGAACTGGTCCGTCGGCGCAGGGGAAAAAAATAAAGAAAGATGGATGCAGAGGCCACTTGGGGAGATAAAGACGCGAATAAAAGCGAAAAATAAGAAAATGCTTTCCGGCAGCATTCGACGTGTGTCATTCATGAACCCCACAAGCCAAACAAAAGCGACAAAAAAAGGTAAAATGTCTGAAAGGAAAAGCAATCCGCAAAAAAAAGGCACGCCAACAAGAAATTGGTCAACAAACGTAATGCCAAAATCGTATACTTATAAAAAAATAATAATAAAAAGGAAGGAGTAAAAAAACCCAATGATTTTAAAAGCTGAAATCGAAGCATTGTTTGCTTCGAACCCGCGACCAGTCAATGACATTGCCCAGACGAAAACAAATATCAACTACAGTGGTCAATCGATACCGAAAATAAGTAATTTAAGTAGATTATTTCCATTGAAATTGGTTTTATTGTTGGTTTAAGATTAGTTTAGTTCCATGGTTTGGTCAGAACTTTAAAGAGCCTAAGAACAATTGAGAATTTATAATTTTAACTTTGTAATATGGTTTGTGGGTTTTATATTTGTAAATCTTCCGCATAAGATTGCTCTAATAATAACAACAAGTTAATAACTGAGCTTAATAATATAAAAAACTAGAATCCCTTTCAATTCATGGGTGTTCCACCTGATGTTATTTAAGGTTTGTTTTTGCAAGCTCACTCCAACACTCCAACGAATGTTCACCCCACGAGTGTACCTTGTTTAAGCAAAAAATAATAACAACAAAAATCGAATAAGAAATCAACAAGCAAGCCAAGCGCGCCCCTCGATTTCTGTTTTGGTCGCCATTTACAACAAAACATATAAAAATACACACGAGACGAGAACAAACAATAAAATGTCAACTTATTTTTAACAAACAATGGGTACATGCCATGCAAGATGTCAAGTGCATGCAAATCAAATTGAGTCGATATATATTAACATATATATTCATATATATATCTATATGTGGGAGTGATCTGAGCGATTAGAAGCGACAGTCATGACATTGTTAGTCACTCGAAGAACCAATAACCAATGCTGATCACATTTGGTGAATACAATTGAAATTCTGTGTGTTAAACGTGATAAAGTTTAATGATTTATTTACGGCACTTGGGAAGTTGGGAAGCAGTATCCCAATACGGAAATATACCTATAAATAACTATATAGCTGTCTAGTATTTATGGGGGAAATGCATTTACATTTAAGTGTTTAATTTTTATTATCAAACCCATGCTAACAAGTTAATGGGCACATTAAAATTTAACTACATTTCGTGTTTATAAGGTTAAAATATATTTATTTTCCTTGAACCATTAAAAATTGGTCTTTAAATCGGATGAACTTGGCTCTACTTATTTAAAGCCTTATAAAAATCTGTCCTCGTCTTGTCACCCAGAAAATATCCACCTCCACTTTAGCTTTTCCCCCCCTTCAATGAAATTTGCATGAAGCAACGAAACGAATGTTTTGAATTATTAATTAAGAAATTAATTGCGCGATACCAACGTCGTCGACGAATCCGAACTTGGCCCCTGCGACATTCCAGGCCATGCGCTTTCATTTTGCAACTGCACAGAAAACAAAAATATTCAAATAATTAAATATTCAACAACTACAAGAAAGAAAGCTAAATTTATCATACCCTTCCAGCTCGAATTTGGATCAGGAAGCCGAATCCTTAATTTATCACAACTTGGCCAAAAATGCATTTATTTCCATTCGGAAAGCTTTGCTGTGCTAGTTTTTATTAGGCTAACAAATCTGCATACTAAATATAATGAAATACAATTTTAGATTTTTCGACAAATTTTGACAATTTTAATAAAATTTTGAATTTTGGAAAAAAAATTTTCAAATTTTATTTTTTGACCGGACATGACTAGTTCGAATCGGCTGTTGATTCTGATCAAGAATATATATGATTTATAGGGTCGGAAATGACTCCTTCACTGAATTTGCAAACTTCTAACTAAAATTATAATACTATAATAATATAATAATACTATACTATAATAATATAATAATATACTATAATAATATAATAATATAATAATATAATAATATAATAATATAATAATATAATAATATAATAATATAATAATATAATAATAATAATATAATAATATAATATATAATATATAATATAATAATATAATAATATAATAATATAATAATATAATAATATAATAATATAATAATATAATAATATAATAATATAATAATATAATAATATAATAATATAATAATATAATAATATAATAATATAATAATATAATAATATAATAATATAATAATATAATAATATAATAATATAATAATATAATAATATAATAATATAATAATATAATAATATAATAATATAATAATATAATAATATAATAATATAATAATATAATAATATAATAATATAATAATATAATAATACTAAAATAATAGCAAGGGTTTAAAAACATAAAAAATACAAATATTAGCAGTCTAGTAAAAATTCCAAATAAATTCTAAGCAAAAATGGAACTAAAATTCCATAAAAACCTTAAGAAATGAACAAAAACAATTATTTAAATTAAGCAACAAAATGGTTTCTTAAATGTTTGTAAATAGTTTCAAGTTCCTTTTCTTCCCTAGTGATTTCTTTATTAATTTGAATAGATACTTATTGTTTACAGTGTCTCTGGGTAAATGGGTGGCCCCGTGGAATTCAATTAGCGGGTGCCATTGTCTGGCAATCAATGGATATGGGCATACTTTCGACCCCGATCCATCTCCATCCACATCTCCATCTCCATTGTGGCTTGCCCATTGTCCAACCTTGTGCTGCAGGGCAAGTCATCCGGTCATGAGCTTCGCCAGAGGGACATTTGCATATTTTTCACACTCCGTCAAGCCGGATATCTTGCGTATGAATATATATATATATGTATATAACATATATATATCTGGTGTCTGACGGTGGCAGATGATGCACCCGTGCTCCCAGATCACCCAACTCCACCCATTTGACCCGATGAGTGAGCAGTTCCAACAAAAGACTGCTGCTGGTGTCGGGAGCGGAGTGCGTAAGCGTAATCTGCGGGGCATTACGAGGCAGAAATTAATCAGGAAATAAATTATTTATACCCATACCCCTATAGACGTTTATAAATACATATATCTGGCAAAGTCTGGACTTTGTCTTGTGCTGCCAAAAAACATTACATTGTCGGTGGGTTTGCTGCTTTGTGACAGTGCAAAAAGAAATCCAACGAAAACTGAAATCCAATTTCCTTTATGGCTTAGTTATAAGCGATTATAATGGTCACTACATCTGACTTTTTGCCATGAGGAAAATAACAGAGAATTTCCATTGAAAAGCGAGAGAAAACTTTAATTTTTAATGTCTTTTTCCTTTCCGATTTTTGTTCATTTCAGCATTTGGCATGCATGTGTTTTCCTCCTTTATTTTAGTTTTCCCGTTTTCCTTTTTTTTTTCCCCCATTACACAACTTTTGTTTTCTACTTGATTGCATTTTACTTTTGATTTTCCCCTCCTTTCCATTTCCATTTCGCTTTCCAAGGCGAAAATCTCTTGGCGTGAAATTGTTTTCTTGCTAAGATTTCGATGATCGATTGTTTAGTGCATTGGAAATGCATTTTAACGAGATTTTTCCATTTTATTTTCATCGATCTTTTTTGGCCAATGCACTTTCAATGTATAAAAAATGCAGTAGTAATGGCTAACAAAAATTGAAGAGACCATAAAATTACTTGGTCATAGCTGCCATTAAATGCGGTTTCTTTTTTGTTATAGCGCAATGAATAGTCCTTTTTATTATAATGTATAATTAAATTTTAAATTGATTGCTTATCTGAAAAGATTAGGTAAATGCATCGATTTCTTTGTGATTTGTTTTTGTCTGCGTCTAATTACAAAATGAATTATGGCAAGTTAATAACCCTTGCCAATTCTTGTAAGATAAATAGCACGACTTTTTATCTTTATAATTGTGAAAATTTGTTATTAAAGTATTCAGATTTAAAATACGGTTCGCCCAAAAGAAAGTTTTTGTAAAAGCTTAAATTGTATAATTGATTAAAGCTTTAAAATAGCTACAAATGCTTCGATTTATGTAATATTATTCTATCTTTAGGTAATATCTACCCAATCGTTATTGTAAATTAATCCCCAGTAAATATGCCATTAAAATCTCTCTTATATTAGGTGCATTAATCCTATTTTTATACATATATTGATTTTTATACTAATCCAGGAATCCTTTCCCCCTCTCCTATTCCAGACTCTGCTCGCTGACAATAACACGGCTGTCCATTCTAACACCACTACCAGGTGACACCACCTCCCTGTCGCTGGCAGTGAAGATGCAAAGCTCCAAGCGAACGCTGCGCAGCCATGAGATACCCATCAATGGCACTGCATTGACCTCCTCCGCCTCGCTGCAGGGCAATTCCCCGCTAGTAGCCGGGATTGGGGGAGGAGCAGGAGCTGGAATGGGTGGCGGTGGAACACCTGGTAGTGCTGGCACTGGAGGCGGTCTGGGCGTGGCTGTGCCCTTGACGGAAACCGAGCTGGACTTGCACTTCAGTCTGCAGTATCCGCACTTCATCAAGAGAGATGGCAATAGGTAAAGCAAAGTGCTGTGATTCCACTTCACTGAAGCTCTAGTTTCACACTTTTGAACTCAATTAAATCGGATTACATGTATTTATAAATATTTACAGACTGGTTATTTTGCTGCAACGCCGCAAGAAATACAAATCACGCACCATTCTGGGCTACAAAACCCTGGCCGAGGGCATCATACGCATGGATGCAGTGCTCCAGAAGTCAATGGACATGATCATTGAGCTGACGGCTTCCGGAAAGAACGGCAGACCGGGCACTGTGGTTGCTTGCCTGCGGGCCGAGCGTGTCTCCTCCATTCCAGTTGACCATGACAATAAGAACAACAATAGCGTCCTGCTGGCAGGTGAGTTTCTTAAAATCTTAAAAGGAAAATGTAGTTCCTGAACTTTAAAGAACTTGATAACTGAACTAAAAGAAGTAGTAGTTTGTATCTTTTTAAGTATCAGTATAGTTAAATCACTGTAAGATGCTGCTTTAGCGATGGAACACAATGTAACCCACTTAAGTTAACTTAATTAAACAAAGTTATTAGTTTCTCTTGGTAACCAATGATGGCAAAGGTCAAACCCAGTTCATAGTATTTCCCGCTGACAAAGCTGTCCACTTCGATGAGCAATCTCCTGAACCCTGAACAGTGCTAAGGAATTTATTGCCAAATCCATAAAATACAAATAAATGGACCCACGAGTCAGTCCCAAGACCCAGTCCAGATTAGAGAAGTGCTAATGACGCAAACTGGGCAATTAATGGCCCAAGTGGTGGGGCCAGGAGACTGAAGCTGCCGCTGCTGGTGCTGCTGCTGCTCCACTTCATGACGGATGAGTGGCTGTCCCTCTGGCATCCGTAGATCAGATGATGCTCCCAATTTAGGGGCTGATGTTTATGGTAATTGCTTGTGAAACAATTCTCGTGAATGGGAGGAGGGAGCGTTAGGTGGCCAGGAGTGACGTCAGCAGCTACATCAGAGTATTCCCCCCATCGCACACGCATTTTCGAATTTAGGCCATGAAATTTCACCATGACCACAACTATGTTCGTACATACATACCATCGAAAGGCAACCCCCACATGGCAACAGAGGCCTCCTCCTCATCCACATCCATGGCAATCTAATTGAAATTATATTTTTCAGTTATTTCTGTTTGACAAGAGAATAGCGTGCGAACCGAAAAGAGCTGGCTTGTCGAGCGCCTCCGAGAGGAAATTCAATTATGAAAATAGCGTTGGGCGAGTGGAGGAAACTCATTTACCATGCGGTTTCCCATTGGCAACATCTGGTGTAGACCTTAGGAACTGGGGAAAAACCAAGAGCCAGGGTAGGGGGTTAATCCAAGGAGTGGCAATTTAAGATGAGATGGAAAAAGGGCAACCAGAGTGGAGCTCCCGTTTGCTGGCATACAGATTTTGCACTGTTGCCACGTCACTCGGTCAGGGCCAAGGTAAAGGTCAAAACCCATTGCAGGGCTTCACCTTCTTTACCTGGCTTCCAAACCCCACTTTAAGCTGATGAAATATGTATGACATGCAAAATTGAATCTCTGCGACGTGATTTTCTTTTTTTGGCCCCCAAAAACTTTGCAGTTTCTAATGGCCCACAGACAGAGATCAGAGGAGGCAAGAGGGGAGATTAGCTCTCACATTAGGTTTAAAGGCCATTCAAGTCTTTTGTTATTGAAATATATCCTGAAAGTTTACTCTCACTTTGAATTTAAATTGTTTACTAGTTTCTATTAGCAAATTCTCACCCATTGACATCAGTAACTCATGCCCCATTTGGCATAAATCATTCCCGTGGAGGATTGGTCAGGGATATCCCCACTTCTGGGAATGAGTGAGATGGACTGGTGACTAGTGGCCATCAGAAGTTCGTTGGCAAGGGGCCAGCGCCCAAAAATTTGGCTCCGTTTCAATCCATTTGGTGGCAGTGACAGTGTCAGGCCCAATTCTCCACATGCATAGTGTGAGGGTCAGCACTTGAACCCGAGCTAAATGAACCTATATAGGGAGCACAGGAGGAGGTGGACAGCAGGAGCGTGCAGACACAGACAGCTCTGTTAAATTACTTTGGGTCTCGCTTTCTAATTTGCAAAAATTGTATTCAAAAGCAGAAACGAGAGCAGGGAGAACCGTAAGAGCATGGGAAATGCGAGGAAAACCTTTTTGCCTCAACCTCAATTTGGTGTATTGATTTTCTCTTTATGCGGTCCGGCCTCCAAAAATGCTGCTGATGGCATTCCGTTCTAGCTCTCGTTGTTTGTTTGCGGGAAAACAGAGTGCACAAAGCGAAATACTAGGTGTATTTATGGGAAATATTCTATAAAATCATAAATAGAATTCATAGGATTAAATGTATATAATAGAAAAGACTCTTAATCATGTGAAATATAGAATAATCTAGGATATCTTAGCACTTCTTTCTCTCTGTGTGGTGCCTAGGTGTGCGCCTGATTGCCTCAGGCCTGTTTTGCTGTTGTTGTCGTGGCTGCTTGTTGAATATGTTTCGCCCAGTTACCGCCCATTTCCACTCCCAAACCCATACCCAAACCCAAACCTCCTTTGCTCGCATCCATGCCCGCAGGTGCCGGGCCGAGTCAGGCACCATTAGCAGCTCGCAGGACGCTCCTTTAGCCAGGCAGCGGAACTTGTTTTGTGGGTGGAACTTTTAAGCGTGCGCCATGTTCAGCTGATGAATTTTCCATGGCCATAAGCTGTAGTGGTGTTAGAAACAGAAAAAACAAAAAAAAAAAAACAGAAAACAAGAGGTCTGTGTAGCATAGTTCCCTAGTTTCTGCAAATTGGAAAGGATTAAAAGAAATCACTCCAATGAATATGCAAAGTGCGCATAAATGTTTAAAACAGAAGGTTTTGGTCCATTTATGGTTCTCTTATTTAGGGTTTTAAAAGTTGTTATTTAAGGGATAAGTTTGAGGAATTTGAAATCACATGAAAAGAAGTCTGCTATACTCACAATGCTGCCTTATAATTAGAATCCTGAATCCTGTATCTTCTCAGTATAATGTTTATGGTGACATTTCCTAAATCCTAAATAAGTTTTCTTGAACCAAAAACGAATCAATCATAAAATGTCTCATTCCCTGAAACCCATCTGTTTTTCTCTTACTTCGATTAAGGTATTATAATTTATGTAGAGGATAAAGCCATGCCCACGTCCTGCTTGGCCTGCGGCTGCAGGATCCTCTAGCTTCTCCTGCTCCTCCTGCTGGTATTCTTGTACTTGTGAAGCTTCTGCTGATGACAGCTCCGACAGCTTTTTTTTTTCTTGTTGCCGTTGCCGCAACGACAGGAATTAAGTCATTTGTCCTTGAGTGCCAGAGATAAACGCTGCAAAGAACTGGCACTGTGGAGAAGAGACGAACAGAATTGACAGACAGGCAGGATGTTCTGCACCTCTAATGACCGACCAGCCACCCCAATATATATATATATATATATTCTGTATAGTATATAGTATCTAGTGAGTGCTCCCCCTATATAGCTTTTTTGCCTTCCCCAAACCATTGAGTGGTTAATGGCGAAATGCGTGAATTATGTCGAGAGTATCCACATTGTTCACTTCCACTGCTGTTGCTATCCTCCAGCCTCCGGAGGCACCTCCTCCTCCGCTTACCCCATCCATTGGCTGTCATCTAATGACAAGATTCGTGTTCTGGCCAAGGTCAAACCAATGTATTGCCTTTTTGTGCCAGTTTTTCTTGTTGTTTACCCGGCACTTTATCGTTGGTTCAAGGGTATAATACATATAGTGTTTTTCCTTAGCCAAAGCTTGTTTATGTATTTATATTTTTAGCCGAGTTATCTTTGATAAATTAAGGTTGTTCTATTATTTCAGACATATTCTATTCCCTTTAATATTCACTTCAATCTGATCATTATTTGAGTGAAAATTACATCACTTGTGTGTGTGTAATGGACCAATTGATGATGATCCGTAAATAGAGAGATTATTTCGAGGGATTTATCGCGAAAATGACTTTAAATCGATTTTAATTTTCTCCCGGCATACAGCTGTTGCTGTTGTTTGTGGTTTATCTGACCTCCCGCATGGATGTGGAGAGCGGTAGACACTAAATCAATGTCGCTCGTCGCTTTTCAGTATGGTTTTCATTACTCATACGCAGCGTGGCACCAACCGAGCGTGGGATGAACGTGCGAGGATGAGGAGGTGGTGGTCTACTGAGGAGGCTGAGGTGAACTGTGCTGAGTTGTGGGCTTTACCCATGACACATCTTCCGTTGCTTTGGGCAACACTTTGTCTGATATTATTATTGTGCCTCCCTCTCGCTTTGTTTACATGCTTTCCAGCTCCCTTGCTGTTGGGGGAAAAGCACTTTTCGTGGAAATTCCTTGGACCAGAATGGCAACGTAGAATGTATGCGTGCGTTATATAGTCGCCTTCCTGGAAGAGCAGACAATGTCCCGAGAGTGGTAGACGGGTTATTAAGGTGTTTACGAATTGCATGCAATTATAAAGGAATAGAAAACCCGAGTCGAGTGACGGTTTAAAAGGAAAACAATGCCAGAGAGACATCATTAACTTGTCTGCGTAATTGCAGCAACGAAGATAAACAATATAATAGCCCTCGAGTTGGTTTCCCATATGCCACCCAGCTCTTTCAGTTAATACCTAGCAGATTATATAGACTATATAGCCTAGATGCTACCGATGGTCTGTAAAAACAATGCCACTGAAATGTGAATCTCTTTCGCTCACACACTATCTGGCTCATGACTGACACGATTTATATCTTCTCCGGTATCTTCAAGATTGGATATTGTTCGGATATTGTTGTGATAATCCAATCCTTATAGAGAGTATGTACCTTAATGGATATCTTCTAGTCTGTTGCATCGAATATTGTTTTCTGTAATGGTTTCTCTTCTTGTTTTTTTCGAAGACAACACGCAAAGAGAAGATAAGATGAATGGGGGCAAGAAATAATGGTCAATAAGCCAGAATGCAGCTTCTGCTTTGGCCCCAATTAATCATAGCTGCCAGCAGTTTTTCCCAAACACTCCATTATGCCTCCCATCCTCTACCTGGCCGTACTGTTTACCTTTCCTAGCCGCTTTTCAGTCATTCCCCTTCGTACTTATCACTTAACAGCTTCGAGGCTGTCAAAAGTTACACTTAACCGGAGTTTGCTCTGCACCCACATATACAAGTCCGCCGACTGTCTCTGGGAGTATAGCTCATCCGCTTGCACTGCCCAGCACGCGATGGATACCAGTTGTGGAGAGACCCGGCGACGTACCGCTTCCACAGACACCCACTGACACCCACTCCCCTCATCCCAAAAACGTTAACGAGAGAAAGAGATAGACAAGAAAAAGAAAAGCAGACAACACAGTCTAGAGACTACAGAAACCGGCCGGTGAATTGCGTTGGCTAAATGATAACGACAGCAAAACATGCGAGCAAATAAACAAACAAAGCAAGTAGCTAAAGATATTATATGCTTGAATGCCTCGAAGAGGAGATACCCCCTATTTCAAAAGTAAATAAAATCTCCTTTTCGATTAACTAAATGAAAGTAACATTGAATCGGCTTATAGACATACCTTTGCTTAGTTAGGTCTTTCGAAGAATTTAGTTTAATTTATAACTTTTAAAAGATAAGCTGAGAAAACTTCCCCTCCTAGTATCCTATCGATATACATTTTATTATATAGGTAGATAAAGACTTTGCGTACACATGGTCTTAACTAATATAAACGATATATTTTTGAAAACGTCAGAGGTGAGCTCTTTTTATCGGGTACCTTGGGGGACTCACAAATAAAAAATACACCTGATAAGAATTCTTTGATTGCTAAAGACAATAAAGTACAGAGTATAAGCCTGTAATTTTTGAATGCAGGGTAAAAGAAATAGATGAGAAGTGTAATTGAAATTTACTAAAAACGGGAGTGGAAGTAGTAGCCTGTTTTTTTTTTTAAATGAAGTGAAATGGGAGTGGAAATGGGACTGGGAATGGGAAAATGGAGTGCAACAAGTAACAACAGAATGCGATGACACAAATCTTATCGCAAAACAATGAATTGTTCGATATGAACGCATGTGTGCCCTGTATTCACGAGAACTAGTTCACACGATCTAGGATCTATATAAAACTTAAAATATACAATGTAGAGAATAGGGATTTTCACACAATAATATTACATATTTTGAAATCTAAACTACTAGTTCTATAACTAAATCTTCAGATATTTAAGTGTCTTAAATATATATATAAGAGTACTTTTGTACTTCAAGATTTCCTAAAGCGGAATTATTTTATTCCCAAAAAGTAATGCACGCGAAGAATGAGAAAATAAACAAATAGTTCTCGATTAGAATTCCAAGAGCACAAAATCAAGAGAATTCGAATTCAATAACCTAATACGTTAAATGTGTGTAATCGATGAGTGGGTGGCGAAAGGCCGGCGCCCATAAGTAAATCCCATATGGGAAGCACCTTCTCCCAAGCACCCTCCCCTTGCACTTTACACCTCCTCTCACACCCTTACACACCCCCCTTTTCGGCGGCACAGTTCAATTGCCCGAATCGGGGCGTAAAAATAGCTTTAATGAGCAGTTCCCATGCCTGTGAGCTTTTGACACTTGTTTAGTAACATCGCACCGAGAGCCACATGTAGATAACGTGTGTGTACTAGTGTGTGTGTGGGTGCAGATATAATGAAATATATCGAAGCGCACGTTTACTTGTTCCTCCTTCAATTGCTCATATTGATTTGAGTAATTTTAGTTTGTGTGCGCAAGCAGCTCAACGCCTCTCCCCATGCGCTCGCTCACTTGCTCAATGTCTCACAGGTGTTCTTGGGGCTTTGGCGCTCTCCCACTCTCAGCCCGCTCTTGGCCCGCTCTCTCTTTCACTCAAGGCACAGTGGGACCTACAGAGCAAATGCGGCAGGAAATCCAATTAAAAGTAATAAAATATTAGGTATTTGTCATAGTTATTCCTATTAATATTATTTCATATTATGAATTAAAATATTATTGTTGTTTGCATTTATAGTTAAGCTGCCAAAACATGAAAGTTTAGACTCATTTCAATGGGCTCAATTTTGCCCCACTGCCTGTCTTTATTGTCCCACTGTGCACCGCAAGTACACAAAACGTGTGGGGCACCGAGCAATTCATTCATTTCCCCAACAAGCTTAGCGGCTCACACATACGACGCGCGGCAAAGAAGAGGCGGCAAAGTAAACGAAAGAAAGAAAGCGAAATAATAATAATACGGGAGATGAACAGATAAATCAGGCGTAGTTGAAACAAAAGCAGCAACAACAGTTAAGGAGACAGTCAACCGTTGCTATCTGTGATTAATTAACGTACCAAAAACATCAACAACAAAATAGCGGTGTGTTTTTTTAGGCTTTGAACAGATTTAGTTTGTGAAAAACAAACAGTTTAAAGTGACGAGCTGCGGAAACGAAACCCTAAAAAACTAGTGAATGTGAAAATTTAATACAAGTTTGCTGAAAATACAGTGAATAAATGTAATAAACTTTTTCATTTATAAATATTTGTAAAACATTGTACTGTTTTTAATTCCATTCCAAAAAATGTGTTTCAAATTAAAAACATTAAATTATATTATTCAGCGATCTGTACATTTATGACCTTATAAATTAGAACAAGAAAACATGGGTTTGGCTGATTTTCTACTCGCTCAAAATATATCAATCTTAAACTGATTTCAGTTAAAAACATAATAAAAAACAATCTAAATACTGTAAAAACAAGACAGTTAACAGTTAATTGTAAAAAACTGGCCATAAACCGAAGACAGTTAATAGTAACAACGCAAAAAGCGGAGGCCTCAGAGTGTTACGAATACTTATCCATTACTTATCCCTAAAAAACAATAATTAAATATGTATATAAACGTACTCATGTGATAATCTCATTCCGCAGATCGCGTTGCTGAGTATTCCGACGAGGACGAGGAGGCCGAATTCAGTTCGGGGGAATTCAACGACGAGGCCAACGAGCTGGGCCTGATCCGGGATCCGCGGGATTACAGCCATCCGGCCAAACATGATATGCGAAAGTATCGCAACAAGCTGCAACGCTCCGGTATCGAGGACTGCGCTCTAGTCGGCCACCATCCCGGCAGCATCCAGCACCATCATCCCGGCGTGGGCGTTGATAGCGATAGCGAGTTCGAGATGAAGGACAAGAGCTCGTCACGGGCCAAGTTTAGCCGGGTGAGTCACTCTTGGTCAGCAGATAGAATCGTGTAATCCCGGCCAGCTGTGACCCCCGAAAATTGTCGCACACCCGAGAAAGTATATCTACATTATAGCTCGGCCGATATAATTGCGTGGCAGCACGTCAGCAAACGGGGGAAATTTCGATTTGGCGGCTCTAAAATTCATTATGCAAAGTGAATAAATAGCACTCGGTACGCAGCTATCTTATAGATTACAAACAAACACAAGCAGAGCCACAACCATTCATTAATGTAGCTAGGAACGCAGGAATGAAAGTATTTCTAATTAGTATCTATAAAGCCAATAATCATCAGACAAAAATGAAAGGTAGCCCTTAACTCACTAATTTATTTCCGTAAAAGATAAATATATGGAGCTTTAATACTTCTTAACGATAAATCTTTAAAAAAAGGTGAAAAATAGTACCTAAATAAGGTAATAATCACAATCCTGTTTGAGATAGGATTGAGTCCTCAAACCCATAATCGTGGCATAAACAAACATATTATTTACCTTTCTTTGTCGGAATTTCCCAGAAATAAATCAATGTATCGGTCATTATCATATTATTCACATTTAGCCCACTCTAGTCTTCTGGCCTTGTCTGTTGCATGATTAGAACCTTTATACTATCACCTCATTCTTGCTTCGGCATTTGCCAATTGCGAAATTTTGTCAGTTCCTTGCTGCTAACCCAGATCCGCATGCAGCTACAGATACAGATACTTAGATACACAGATACAAATACAGATGGATAGAGAACAAAGAGGCACAGCTCACAAATATGTATCAAAAATGTATCCCTTGTAGTATGCAAATAGAGTAGATATAGATATATAGACAGTACGGTTGGGCATGCCCCACCAAACCGAAAGAAACAAGAAAAAAACCGTGGTGGCCAAGAATTTCTGTGGCAAATAGTTGACAATTGTTGGGGCGGCGGCCTTGGCGTGTCGCTGGTTTACTCGACGCAATTTGCTTAGATTCGCCCGGTGGCATACTTTCGATGCTATAACTATATCTCAGGGCTATATCGGGGCCATCGATGGATTCATACAGAGAAAGAGAGTGGGCTGTGATCTAAAAAAGGAAACTCACGGGTTTCCGCATGGCAATAGATGGGAGTTTAGGATTGTATCTAAAGAACTGTAGAAAAAACAAAACAGAATTTATACTATATCTGTAATCACCATTTATGCCTTAATATAATTATTATAATTACAATACCCAATGATTTATTTATGGGGTTTTCCCCCTTTGAAGTATGCGAGTACTTATAACAACAGGGACAATTTTCTTAAGCCTAACGCTTAAATATTTAAATAGCGCCTTGGCTTCCACTTTTGCTCACCTGTTTTGGCCAATTATGGACTTTTACCTCGTCCCATTTCTGCTCTACTCTTCACGCACCTGGCAACATCCGCAGCACAGGTGTAAAATTAGCCTGCGGCTTTTATTGCCATGGCTTTCAGCTTTGTTTTTTCTGTGCTGCTGCTGCTGCTGCTGCTGCTTCTGGCTTTTTATCGCAGGATCATTTTGAATGTCTGCCGTAAATAAAAACACGCCTAATGACAGCCGCAGCAGAGAAATGGAAATAAAACAAACAAAAGAGAGAGGAGAGCAATTAAAAAAAAAACGATGCATAAATTTTAACAGCTTCAGTCATCATCATGCAATGACGGTCCTTGAGATTTGGTTTAATGGCCAATGAGCAACCTTTAAACTAAAGCCAGGTGTAATTAAGATGGATTAAAATGCAGCATGTATTAATATAACATAAGCCTTAATCATAGTTTTAAATAGTTGTTAATAATGTTTCTCCCTTTTTCCCCTTAGACCATCTCACTGCAGCAGCGGAACTTCAAGCAAAAGATTGTGGCCCTGCTCAAGCGCTTCAAGGTGAGCGAGGAGCTGGAGGGCGAGTCTGGACATCGCGGCACGGCAGCGTTACGCGGTGAACGGGACTTGGATGCGCTCTTCCAGGAGCTGGAGTCATTGTCCTGCTGCGAGGGCGATGACTCTGGCCCGGACATGGACAGCATATCGGTGGGTTCCACACCCAAGCCATCGCTGCGTCCGTTCTTCACCAATTCGAGGATAATGCTGCACGACAGCATCACCGGCAACGGTGGTGACGGTGGCGGTGGAGATCTCGGACACTTGGCGGGCGGAGGTCCCGGAATTGGGACAGCAGGTGAGTTGGGATGCGAAAGCAGACTGGTGGACAAGGGATGAGCGGGTTGCATTGCGTTAATGTATTATTAACTGGAGTTTTAACTAAACAAATTTTGCTCTATGAATTATGTTTGGCTTTCTAATTGCGTTGCGTTGCGTATGAGTTTGTGGGCGTTGCGTTGCGTTACGTTGCCTTTTGTTTATATATTTAAAACCCACAGATACACACAATATATTACCAAATATTCAGTTTAAGGGAGTATAGCTAAGAAACCTAATTCATATAAATTATAGGGAACATTTAAGATCTGATTAAAAACAGGAACTTTTTCATCAGTTTCAGTTGCTGTATAAACAACTTTATTATAAATTCAATTTGTGATTCAAATTTAAAAGCATTAAGCAACATATATAGGATATATAGGTTTTTTTGTAGGGAGTCAGCACTGTGTCAATAGTATCCTTTGCTTTTTTAAATAGTTTATTTCTAATTAAAAACCTTAAAAAAGTATAGTAATAGTATAGGAAATATAAAAGTGCAATATTTAATATAAATATCCTATATAACTTTTTTTAAAAAAGTAAAAACCATAGTTCGGCAAGAAATCGTTGTTTTTTTTTCACAGTGCGGATTTTATTTTTGCCTATTTTTCAAGCGTTGTCTGCTTTTATTGCCATTGTTGACAGTTTGGGTCAAGGTTAAAAAACACAAAAATAAGGAAAAGTTGCGGAAAGGAATGCCACATACACTCTCACACACGCATACACAACACCACGGCACACACACAGACACACAGTTGAAAAACGAAAAACAGGACAAATTGTTTCGCTTGGGAAAACTGGAGGACAGAGTCGGAGGCGGGGGAGACAGTTAATTGTCCTGGCTGACCGTTGCCATCATAGTAAAGGAGGCGCCTCACGGCCTTGTCCTTTCAACTCCTCCTCCTCTTTGTCCTCCTTCACCGGCAACAATTGTTCAACTGTGTTCCGTAGACCGTAAGTCAAGTGCTTTCGATAAGCGAATATATCTTAGTTGTGCTTAGCGTAAAATTGAGCGATTTTAATTACATTTACTTTAACTTCTTTACTGTAATATTACTTATAAAACAAAACAAACAACAACTACAACAACTACAGCAACAAACAGAAGAAACATTTTTGCATGGCTTGAAACAAAATCTCTCTTGCAGGCAACTCTGAGCGCCGATCATCGGATAAGAGCGACCAATTGACCAATTCATCTTACAATCTTGAAAATAACAAAAACCAAAAATGCATTCATTTAACAAACAATAACAATTCGGCAACAACACCAGGTCTGTGTACATTACAGCGAAAAAAAAATCGAAAATTGAAAACCCCAAAAACAGAATATATTTATATACCACCCACCCCACCCGATCAAAATTATATAGAAAACACACACCACTCGCATTATTCCCCAAAAATAACCACCGAAATGAGACCACAACACCACCGATGTGTATGAGAATAACCATATTAGAGCAGAGTCCACAGTTTGTAAATAAATAACGAGAATCCACCCAATTCAGATAGTTTTTACCATTCAGAAAAGCTAGGAAACTTTTCACTTGTCAATATTTTTGTATTGTGGGGTCTTTCGCCACCTTGAAAACTTTACGAAATCGAAGGCTTTATAGTTAAGGAATTTTAATAATCAAAGTTCCATGTGCATGTGTTAGTAACAACATTTTTGTAGCATACTTTTTTGCCTCATTTAAAGGGATTTCGTTTCGTTTCGATTTCAAGGTGGTGCCTGCCCCCCTTTTGATCCTTTGATCCCTTGCCTTGCCTCACTCACACGCACTGTCCACACCACATGCATACAGTTACACAGAGACACACACAATGTCACGAAAACACACACACCCTAGAAAATGTAAATGTATGCTTTGTACGTGTATGTAGCCTAGTTGCACCCCATCCCCACCCCACCCCATCCATGACGGACCACCGCTCAAAACTCAAAGCTTCTTGGCTGCTACCCGGCACTCTTTGCATGCTCCTGATGGGAGGGGAATCTTTGATTTGTGCGTCAGTCCATTGATCGTTTGCATTGCATGTCTGGGCTGCCTTAAAAATAAACCTTATCGTCCTTAACATGTGTGAGACTTGTGTGTTGTGTGAGTTTTGCGGCATGACAATTGAACCTTGGACGCACTCATAGCTGTTTTCCAATTAATCCGGCGTAGACGTCAGTCCTCCGCCGAGCAAGAACTCCATCCCCCTAATCAGGGCCCTTCCAATTGATAAACTCTAGGATTTTGTGTTTGTTTCCCTCCCAGTTTTTCCCCCTTTCTTCCGTCACTTTCACTTTACTTTTCGTGTCGTGGTGTTTTTTTGTAGTTTCCTTTTTTCGTTTTGATTAATCGGTGCATGGCTTTGAAAATTCAAGCACGTCAAGCCGGAAATTTCGGCCTCAGGAAAATATGGCCACTTGCCGCACCTTTCCTCCCCACCCTCTCATGGTCATAAAATAAAGGAAAGCTTTAATTATATATATTTTTCGGCCCTCGTTTTTATTAATATTATTTACACTCGGCTCCTTGGAAGTGGGAAAACCCCCTCTTGGCCGGGGCGTTCTATTTTTGGGACCGATTATTTGTGGCCGCCATTCAGTCTCACGAATCTGTTTATCTTGTCTTGTTTGGTCTCGTCCGCATGTCTCTGTCCCCCTAGACTCACACCCCATCCTCACAGACCCCGTCCCCCCATTGGAGTTAGTATAATATTGCCATGGTTCTGGAAATGTGAGAAAGAAGAAGTTTCTAAGGAGAATTTATAGCCTGAAAAATGTTTTAGAAACTTCCTCTACCTTCCACATCTCCATTTCCACCTGCTATTATATTGACCCCAGCCTTAACTTGCCTTTTACTTGAATGAACATCTGATTAACCTGGTGATTTCTCCATTTTGTGCTCCCCACAGATCGCGGCAACGATAGCTCCGGTAACGAGGGCAATGCCGGCTATACGGATGGACAGAACTCGGATCCGCAGAACAGTCCACCGCGGGACAAGGATTACATGCGACTGCAGCAGATGCAGATGCAGCATCAACAGCAACTGACTCCGGTGAGCTCGGTGGCTGCCAGTTTGGGCAGCGGCAGTGTGGTCACTCCCGCCCAGACGGAGAAGCGATCTCGGCTGTTCCGGACATCCAGCAATACGCCAGGGATTATGGGAAGCGGCGGCGGTGGCAACAATTCCAGTGCTAGCGGGAGTGCCTCCGGTGGCGGCAAACGGAAGCACACATTGAGTCTGAGTGCAGAGCCAAGATCCATGCTGGAGACTTGCCTGTCGCCTACCAACGTTGAGCCACGCAAGCTGCTGCTCGACCAGCTGAGTCGCGTGTTTGCCGGCGAGGACAGCGCCATACCGGAGGTGGTGACCATCATCAGTCCGCCAGAGGCGCTGGGCGGCAGTGTTTTGCTGGCCAAGCTGGTCACGCTCTTTGCCAATTCCTTTAAGCCGGCCTTCGTGCCCCAGAACACGGCCGAGGTGAAGGCGGTGCTGCAGGCGCTCATGGCTAAAATTCAAAAGTAGTAAGTATTAAACCCACTCCAGGGGAAAGGAATGGATCCTCTAATAACTTCTTGCCGTTTCTCAGTTGCAATTCGAATGCCAAGCCGCCGCACACGGTCAAGGTGCTTCTCATTGGTGGGGATTGGCTGCAGGGAGCCACCCTGAGGCATTACGTGGAGCTGATGGGAGTGCGGCCACCAGACTGGCTGAATCATCTGCGCTTTTATTTGGTGCCCGTCGGTGGCACCTGCGGCAGTGTGGCGCGACATCTGAGTCAGATGGATCAGGCCTATGCCGCCATGTTCGGTTCGGATAACTGGGCGCAGCTGTGCGAGCGAGCGGCGGCCACAGCAGCGGCGGTAAGTGCGGTAACCACAGTGAATGCCACGGCCCTGACGGCAAACTTGGCCGATGCGGCAGGTGTAGCGAAGTCAGACATCGCTGAATTGGTACAGCGCATTCAGCGTTATTTGCATGCGGCTGGACCCTGCACCCAAATACCCATCGCCGAGGCCATGGTAAACTACAAGGACGAGGACTCCTGCCAGATCTTTGTGCCGTTCGTCAGTGTAAGTCCAAACCTAAGTCTATTAATCAGGCCAGGTGTGATCATTGTCCATTGACTACTTGCAGGATGTTCGCATTGGTTATCTCGACGCACAGGCCTCGCTGGATCTTGAGGAGAATGCTGGTGGCTCCAATGCCGCCGGCAGCGGATTGGGCTCTGCATCTGCCTCCAGCACGGCCATTATCCCGATTGGCAGCCAGAGCTCGCCGAATGTGCATGGCGTCGTGGTGTCTGGATCTCCGCCCCAGCAGCAGCAGAGCATGGGACGCATCTCGCCGCCGCTGCAGACACCGCCGTCATCGGCTTCCTCGCATCGGGAACGCAATACCAGCGAGTCCCTGAGCACTCCTTCCTCACTGCAGCAGCAAACTTTCAGCGGAGCGCTGGCAGCAGCCGAGGCGGTGGAGCTGCAGGTGGACTACTGGCCGCTGGTGAGGCCGGGAGAGGGACATGCCAAGGAGTCGAAGAGCGGCACGTCCAAGGGCAGCGATGCCGGCGGCAAGAATAGCATTAAGAGTACGTTTAGGAACCTGCAGGTGTGGCGACTGCCACAGCATGCACAGCAATTGGGTGATATGTTCAATGGACTGACTGTTAGTTTCGCCACTAAGGAGAAGAAGCAGAAGCAAAGTGAGTAGTTGTCGAATTCCGGAAATTGTTCTTTCTTTTACTTATTGCTGCCTGCCTTCATTTCATTGTAGTTATGCGCTTGGGTAAGAAGAAGGATAAGGAGCGTGATCTTGAGAAGGAGCAGTGCGTCGAGGGTGTGGCACGTCTGATTTGCTCACCCAAGCAATCGCATCCAGTGCCACTAAGAGGTGAGTGTTCTCTGCTGTTCCTAAAGGCTTCGATTCCACTAATATCCCATTCTACTTGACAGTGTACATCGATGGCACCGAGTGGACGGGCGTCAAGTTCTTCCAGGTATCGTCGCAATGGCAGACGCATGTCAAGAACTTCCCCATTGCGCTCATCGGCTGCACACCCATGTCCTGTGCTGAACTATCCTAGTCATTTTAAAACCCCCGAGCTCACGCGACGGCAAGGCCCCCGACTCACCCTCCTCCTCCTCACAAAAGGACACAGATACACAAAGCAGGGGAGCCAAAGCCAGTCACTTGCGCGGCAATAAATATATATATTTAAAACTTAAAAGAATGATTATTTATATTTATATAATTAGTATTTGTAAATTTTTAGTTAATAAACCAGAGTCTAGCTTGTAACGATTTCATTTAAGTTTATTTCCGCACTTGAAATTGTGAATTAATTGCGACTCTTGACCAGGACAACCCCAAACACAGACAACAGACAAGCAGACACTATACCACACCCACATAGATTAAAGATATGCTTAAAGTAATTATTAACTAACGAACAAGGCGTATCAAAATATGTATCCTGTCTAGAACTAAAAGCAGTCAATCTTTGTAGATTCAGTTTCAAGAATTTCAATGACACGTTGCTCTTGCCCGTCAGCATGTTATAGCATATTAAATATCCCTCAACCAACCAGGAGCTGTAGGCCCCACATGATCTCAAAAATCGTTGCTCCCTGGATGGCCAACTAACTATCAAACGTATCTAAATGTTATGTGCGCAGCATTGCTAAAGCTAATTGACAAATTCCTGACATATTTAACCAAGCCCGTCGTCTATGTAACTACCTAAAGTCGGAAAAATATCTGTGTGTGAAATTATATACAATACATATACTATATATAGGATATAGTATACCTATCTTATCTGAACCATATACAAACAATGTGTACTACTCTTATTGTTGTGATTTTGTGAAATTTCAAAGTGTGAAGCGTTTGAAGAAGCGAATATTTATACATGTATACATAAATCTATATACAGACAGCAGCCGCGTAGCCGAAGATAGTTCGATATATCATCGATGTACTATATATTATATTCTTTATATACCCCTCCCCCACCCCTCGAAAATCGCATTCGTTTCCCCGTAGTAGTTGCGAACCCATTAAACACGAAACACTGCGTGAGAAAGATGAGAATGAGGAGGAGCGAACGTTCATGGTGCGTAGATTGCGTTAAGCGAAGTGGAAGTATTATAAGGCGTGTGTGTATTTATAATTGTACTATTAAATATATATTAAAGTTAAATACGAAAATATTTGGTCTCTTTATTGAACACAAGTGTGTGATCTGGTTTCAGGATCAGCGCACATGAAGCACCTGCTGGGGCAGACCGTTGACTAGAATGGAGCGCTCGTTCAGGCCCAAGGAGCCGCCTATGCCACCCGGTGGCTGCAGAAAATCATTGTCCGGATATCCCTTTGGCTGTGCAAATTCCTTTAAATTGGCATTGCTCTCGCTCAGTGCTTCCAAGGACCAAACGGCCAAATTATTGGTCTTGCCGTGTCGGGCCAAGACATAGTACTGCGGGAGAATCATCAGTCAATAGAGTCACAACTGCTACAGAGAGTTACTTACATTATCCTGTATGTCCACCAGGTAGCCCACAATGAGGGCCCAGTGAGCTCGGTGTCCGGACTTTAGGCAGGGCGCATGATTCACATCAGCATCGTAACTTTTAGTAGGAAGTTAATATTTGATTTAGGGATAACCAGCATGTATAAAGATATGTTTCAGTTAACAAGCAATGAAAACGTTTTTTTATGACATTTATTAACCTATACAGATACAATTCGTATAAATGCAGGTGTGAATACACGTGAAACTAAATCAGACTCGCACTAGCCCACTCGCATGGGTGGCGACACCAGGATAACACCGTCGCCTCGCACAAACAGCATGGGAATGGTGCGTTTCGCCGTCTTGTACACCTCCTCATAGGTCTCCTCGTCGATCTCTACGGTAGTCACCGTCTCCTCGGCGTCGCCTAAAACCATGTTCAGATGCTGATCGAAGGCCTGCCAAAAGGATTACTTTGAAACTATACCAAAGGCCAGATGCACACTTATTAAACTTACATGCAGGCGTCCTCGCAGCTCCCGTTCGTTCCGCATCTTCACGTACACCTTTTCATCCAAGCTCAGCCGGATGAGATCCAGGGGCTCCTTCACCGGCAGAATAACCTGACTGAGCTGCAAGTTCAGGAATGAGCGGGGTTTCTTTGTAATTTATAACTTGCACATACCTGTTCCTCTTCGGTAGCCATTTCATTAAGAAAATTACACCTTGTTTACAAATAAGCGAAAATTTCGCAAAATCAGTCGGCTTATTGTTTTTTTTTTGACACTAAACATGCGCGACTTTAACAGCACTTGCTGCTAACAGCGTGCTGTTAACCGGTTTACCGTAACTGTTAGGCGCAAACGGGGGTTGAAATGCGGGAAACCCGATATCTGAGACTCGGTTTAAACTCTAATTATGAAATTATTTTTGAAAAGGATACGGCACTAGGAGGCAGCCACCAGCTTTCAGCAGCTCCTTGACTTTCTTGCAGCTGAGATTGCCCTGGTGCAGCTGGCAAGCTCCAGGTCCTGGCAGGTATTTCCGCGTTAGCTCAAATAAATACTGAGCACTGAAAAGTTCTCCATTTATTGTAAACTCCTGGTTAATGGCATCCTCCAGAAGACGCGCTGCCGTGGGTTGTCCTCCGAGTAAAATGCTCAGGGCTGTCAATCCGCAGGTGGGGCCAACCTAAATAAATGGGATCCTTAACCTGAAACCTGAACCTTGCATTGCAGAGCTCACCTGCAGTATGCTAGGCACGGAGTAGTACTGGCAGTGTTTCGGTGGAGCATATTGGCACACGCGACTAAGATAGCATCCTTTCTGCAGCTCCGGATATTCCCAGGCCCAGCTGCATTCGTCGCTGGTTATGTTGACAATAGTTCGTTCTCTGGTCACAACTGGTGCCACGGGAGTGACTTTCAGGAGAGGCGCTGGTGGTGGTGGTGGAGCAACAGGTGAAATATGTGACATTATCCTGAGCAGAAAATAAATAAATTAACTTGGCTAATTGACAGAAACAGCTGTTTGGGCCAAATAAATATAATAACAGCGAGCTGTTATCGATAATCGATACATCACTTATTGTCATCTCTGCCGCACAGTGGTTAGATTTACTAAACCGAAAAATAAATAGAAACTCTATACTTTAGCTTAATTGTATATGATTTATTGTAAACTCTTCATTGTTGTGTAAATTAAACCAAAAGCATGTAAAAAATCATAAAATTAATCAGTGGAATAAAGTACATACCAGATATACGCAATTTACATACATGTTTTACCGAAAAACAAGGAGCAATTTTACATGGAGTACTATTTATAATTATAGGATATTATATACGAGTAACGTAATTAACTAATCGAAATTCACACTCGAATATCTTGCAAGGGCATATAGGTATTTGGATCTGAGCCGATCAGAAGTCGATGGTGCGGCAAAGTATGTCGTTAATTACATTTAAAAAAGGTTAGTATTCTTTATTAAATTTACAATCACAAGATTTTTTTGTTTTTTCGAAGATATTTGTATACTCAATGTTGTTACTGTTGTTGTTGTTATTGTTGCAAAGCTTGCAGCGGTTGCGTGCAAAATTTGACTAATTAAATGGCGAAAATAGTACTAGGGAGAAGGCGGGCGGTCATTAACATGAATTTTTAAATACGAGAGCACACAGAGCACTGATTTTTTACTTATTAAACGATTGGGTCGTGAATTTGGTTGGATTCCGGAATATTGCGGTTAAAGCCCTTGCCTAGAGTCTGCTGCGTCTGCCGATGTTAAATCTGAATCTGATCTTTGCATCCTATCTGTTAATTAATTACTATGCTGTTGTTGCTGAAATTGTTTTACTTAAACATAGAACACTCCTCCATCGTCGTCCACCGAGTTGCTTGCTTCTCTTGTTCATATTATTATGTTGGAAATATTATTTAATAATATAGATTGTGTAATAATCCCGCTGCGACTGCTATTGCATTAGCACTGACAGTTGTCAGGGTTTGAAGGACGATTGGATTGTGGGCCCAAGGTAATCTGATCGGGGAAATCGTTGATGACCTCAGCCTGTAGCAAAAAAAAAAAGGAATTAAGAGATGTGCAACACTAAGGGAACTACTGATGTTGATACGCACCTCTGCCTCCAACTCGAGCGCATTCTTGGCTATGATTTGAAACGCCATCTCCACGTTGATGCCCTCCTTGGCGGACGTCTCGTAGTAGGGTATGTCGTTCTTCGATTGGCACCACTGCTGCGCCCGACGCGTGGACACCTGACGGTTGTCCAGGTCCACCTTGTTTCCTAGCACCACAAAGGGAAAGTGCTCGGGATCGCGTGGACTGGCCTGTATTAAGAACTCATCGCGCCATGAGTCGAGATTCTTGAACGAGTTGGGTGCCGTCACGTCGTAGACGAGCACACAACAGTCAGCGCCGCGGTAGAAGGCCACACCGAGCGACTGGAAGCGTTCCTGGCCAGCAGTGTCCCAGATCTGCACGAAAAATGCAATTAGGCATCTTTTGATAAGCGGCAATGCAAGAGGGTGGTGAACTTACCTGCATTGTGACAACTCGGTCGTTGACAACCACCTCTTTCGTGCAGAAATCAGCTCCGATCGTAGCTTTGTATTGGTTGGAGAAGCGTTTGTTTACATACTGATTCATAAGCGAGGTCTTGCCCACGCTGCTGTCACCCAGAATGATGACTTTCAGGAGTGATTTTCTGCGGCTGGCCATTGTTATGTATGTTGGAGGGCTGGTTCACTCGGATACGATGGTTCTTTCGTTTGGATTTTGGCGTTTTCTGCAAATAGTATCGATTTGGGTGTTAAAAATACCACTGCCTAATGCGATTACAAATGGGAAAAGGAATAGCACACAGCGTGGCAACAGCTGGATTGGCCAGTGCATGATGAGACGGACAACAGTGCGAGGTACTGATCCATTCAACGCTGTGATAAACGCGCAAACACATGAGTCATTCTGTGCAGTCCACAATGAGTGATCGCAATACAATGATAAGCGGAGAGGGGAAGTTTGGCTGGCCCGCATAGGGGCGATAAAGCGTGATCACTGCTTATTAGCTGGCGGAGCTGCAAAGAAAGTGAGCGAGAGCCACAAACAAAGACCGAGGTCACTTCAAGTAATAGATGGACGGACACCACCAGCAGCAACCGACAGGCAGGGAAAACGCCCATTTCCATACTTCCTCGGTTGACCCTGGAAGGGGAGTTGCACTGGGGCAGCAATAGAAATTAGTGCGAAATGGCCGAAAAGGCTGATGCCACCCGCTATCCTCCTTGTAGTCTACGAACAACTTGTTTTTGTGCATCACAAGTACACACAAATACACACAGCCAGCCCACCATTACGGCGGAGCACCACAGTTGCGTCAGTGTGCGTGGGCCTTTGTGTGTACATTCGTGTGTATGTTCGTTGGAGCCCCTCCAATGGCATTTTCCGTGTGCAGTTTTTGCCTGCTGCGTAACATCTTTTTGGGCACTGCACCTTCGTTTTTCACTATTTTTCCGTTACACTGGCACTTACTATGAACACTTAATGAACAGTCTGCGAGTTGTTTCTTTGTGGTTCGCCTCAATTTTATGAAAATACTCAATTAATTACGCAGTGAATTTTGTTGTTTTCTCGCCAGGAGAATCGCTCTCATCACTAATGTGCAATCGATTGCACAACATCGATAGGTATTGCGGAGACCCGTCGATAGATCTGCCAACATCTTTGGGCAATCGAAAGCTAGCCAACACTGTTTTGTCAGCCCAATTAACGTATCCTATTTTTTGTTAAAATTATCACTGAAAACTATTGACAATACCTTTAGGGACCGAACGCTGCCACACGCTGGACCCTGGGGCATAAGGAGGAGCCAAGAATCGACATGGCCACGCTTCCGCCGCGCAAGAGTCAGACGCCAACACGGATCTGCATCTCCAAGCAGCACCTGACGCCGCTCCAAACATTGCTCCAAATGGGCTTTCCCAGGCACAGAGCGTGAGTATTCCCCGCATCTTGTCGGGTGGCAGTAGTCCAGACCAATCCCCTCTTCAATAGAGACTGGCCGGGTTAGATGTTGGTCCACCGAAGGGGTCGCTGGTCGAGGGAGGCAAAGTATTGATTTTTTTTCAACGCCCGCAGGGAGAAAGCTCTGGCTTCGACGGGCAATCGAGGCGTTCAGATTGCCTCCGACTGGCTACTGGCACATGTCAACGATGCCACGCTAGACGAGTGCGCACCCAGGGAGTACATTATTTATGCTTGCCCCACGGGTCCGTTTCTGCAGCAGTTGGAGGAATTCTGGGCCAAGTCGCGCAAAATGTGCGGCTGGAACGGAGCCCACAATTACGTGCCCCACATAACGCTGGTCTCGTTTTTTAAGGTAAACATTTAGATACGAAAGTCCTAACCGAATTTGACGCCGTTCGATCTTTTTACAGGCTCCGGATGAGTGCTCCCTGCAGTTGTCAAAGGCCCTCAAGCAGGTGGTGGACATGACTGGCGCTCTGCTTGACCGTCCGCTCAAGCTGGAGCCCTACATGAGCCAGAACTTTATGGGCTTCTTTGTGTCCGAAGAGGATGCCAATTATCTTAAGCGACTGGCCCTGCAGTACGTCAAGGAGGTTTCCAACTCAAGTATGCCCCCACTGTTGGTTGCACACTCTCTTTGGGTTGTTTTTTGGTTTACCTTTCTTACGTTTCTGTTCGGTTCGGCTAACGACTTTTCCAAGTTTCGGAGTGGCTTACGGTTATGTTATATTCTACTCTCTTCCTGCTACTTGCTACCTACTAATCCCCGGAATCGGAATGCTGAACAGTCATAAGCGACACCTACGAGCAGTTGGACGCCATTGTGGCCTGCTTCCCATGGTGCGGAGCTGTCTCCTCGGGCACTCGGTGCATTCCACGCAGCAGTCGATGTAAGCCAATAGCCTAGAACCATTAGAATGCATAAAATGGGCCCTATCTGCTTATCTGTAGAAACTCACTCACACGATGCATGCCTCACTCACCCGCTATAGTAGATAATTTACTAATTTTGACGGCACTCGCCGTGACGCTGCTAATTGTAGTTTATTGTTTTTCACATTTAGAGCTCTATACATACCAAGGTGAATCGACTTTTTTGGTTCCTTTTTTGCTTTCTTTTTCATTTTTAAATTCACTTTGAATTGGATGTTAGACTACCTAAAATATATAATAAAAGAAGAATTATTTAAGGGCCAAACATCCAAATACTTATAATTTTGACGCTGGGCATTCCCTAAAGATTACTTTATGCGATAATGAATTTTTTGAGTACATTCCTTATCAAAAGATAGAGTCACCCTAGACAGAAATTCGCATATAAGCAGGCCCCACCGCTCTAAGTTTCCATTTAGTAATTGGCTGTCCCATCCAGCGATCGGTCACTAATAGCTTCTATCTCCGACTCTGACTCCCCGTAGCCATCTCACTCGAGCCACACGTAAAGAGCCTGCACCTGACGCTCGCCTACCAGTTCCCGCAGGCACAGTTCAATGCACTGAAAGCACTCGTGGAAACACTAGACGCCAGCTGCGCCTCCAATTGGGAACTGCGCCTCTATTCCCGCGATCCGCGGCTCGCAACCAAACAAGTTAGAGCGCTTGTCACACACATTTAACGACGAGTTCTAATCCCAATTTGCTTTCTTTGCAGGTCCAGAAGGTCGTATATCCACACAACCCGCACGAGACGGATGAGTTGGAGCTCCGGATTGGCGACTACATCTACTTGAACAGCGACGTGGTGGACAGCTCCAGTGACGGCTGGGCCGAGGGCATTTCCTGGCTAACTGGAAGCACGGGTCACCTTCCCGTTAACTACACCGAACGCACTGCCGAATCGGACGCCTGGACCTTGCATCGAGTGGTTCAGCTGTCGAAGAGCGTGGCATCTTCCCTGACCTCTGCCGAAGATCTGGACATTGTGGACGGACGCAGCATATCGACGGAGCCTGAAGAGCGCCAGCGTGACTTGCAGCAGGGTAGGCCATCATATGTTGATTAAAATTGAGTTGTTGTGCGCATAGACGAGAAGTCTACTCTAATTATTGATTACAAATCTACATTTTAGGGCTACCAAGTTATATTTTATTTTAATGCCATACATTTATCTTTTTTTTAGATACAGCACATCCCGAGATAATTGAGGGCTCGTCGTTCGAGGAGTCCGAGCAGAGTGTTGAGAAATATTTGCGGCAGACACTGAAACCCTGCTTGGAACTTCCTTCCGTGCAGTTGCTCAACAGCCAAAACCTAACCCATCAACACAACCCAAACACGCCCACAATCGAGATTACGACCAATATGTCTTCCTGCTCCACTTCCATATCCAAGCAGCCGGTGGACGAGATCATGGTGGAGCCACCGACTGCTCAGCCACCACGTCCAGACGACACACTCAGTGTCCACTCTGACCACTCACTGCAGCCGGGCTCCATGGATGCCTCGCACGCCAAAAACCGAAAAATCTACATTATGCGGCATGGCGAGCGTGTGGACTTCACTTTCGGCACATGGATTCCCTACTGCTTCGATGAGTTCGGTAACTACATGCGGAAGGATCTAAACATGCCCAAGGCACTGCCACGTCGAAAAAATAGCCCCGAGGGCTGGCAGAATGACTCACCGCTGACCAATATCGGTGTCTACCAGGCCAATCTTATTGGACAGGCCTTGCTGGAGGCTCAGGTGCAGATCGACCATGTCTACTGTTCGCCCTCATACCGCTGCATCCAGACCTGCACCAGTGCTCTAGACGGGCTAAATCTTACGGGCAAGCTCAAGATCAAGGTGGAGCCTGGCCTGTTCGAGTGGATGGCCTGGTATCCCAGCGGTGTGCCGGATTTTCTGACCAAGAACGAGCTGGTCGAGGCCCAGTACAACGTCGATTTGGACTACGAGCCTGTACAGCCGTCTTCCGACCTGACCGTCCGCCTCAAAGAATCTACAGAGCAGTTTTACGAGCGCAACAATGATGTTATCCAGCAGCTGTTAGAACAGACGAGTAAGTGCCACCACGACAAGGTTCTATCGTAGATAAACTCATTGTTATTTTTTCCCTCAGCTGGAAATATTCTGGTCGTGGCCCATGCGACCACACTGGACACATGCTCTCGTCAGTTAACCGGCGGCGCTCCCCGCAGTACGAACGAACTGCGTCAGGTCATCCATAAGATCCCGTACTGCAGTCTGGCCACTGTTGAGCAGATGGATGGCGTTTGGAAGCTGGTGGAGCCTGAGTGCCTGCCGGTGACGCACTCGAAGAATCCGCGATTCGAGTGGAATGCCTTGTCGACCACCTAGTGCCAGTGTTTAGAGCAGTTTCTGTGCAAGCACTGAGACGCGAATTGTAGATCGATGGGGCTGGGCCAAAACAAGGGGGCGCACGGAACGGAACATACGTAAATTGATTGTTTAGGTAACTTAAAGTTATATAATTTGCTGTTCAGGCATTGACGCTTAACTAAGCTGTTTGTAACTGCCATTAAAATTGAAGTTGTAAGCGACAAAAGCGATTTAAGTTGCATTGATTGGTGCAGAATCCATCATATTAAACAATAATTAACTTAGCTTGAGCGCTTTGCTTGCCTATGGACACATACTTTATTGCAGTCAATGCGATGTATCGACTATATATATATTGAATATATGCCAGTAATTATAGTTATTGAGCGCTAGCTCTCCGCTTTAGCCATAGATTAACTTTCTCTGTTGCTAGCTTAGTTGTTTGGATCACTCGATTAGCCTTGCTGCGTAGCGCAGCTTTATCTTTTAGCTACCTAAATATATATCCAAGAGGCAGACATTCTCAGCAATCTGTTTAGAGATCACCGCGAACGTAAAGTCCCAAAACACAGTAACATAAATCGATATTATCGACTAGATTTAGAAGTACAAACATGCCCATGTAACAACGCACAACATAATGGAACAATAAACTCTTTACATACATTATCTTGTACTCCATTGAGATCGTATTTCGCTTCGTCGATCCCCGAGAGAAAAGACCTGACAAATTATTGCATTGTCTTGTGCGACTCGGAAGGGGTCGGCCTTTATTTAATGCGAATATAATTAGAATTAGTAATGTAATTGGTTTAGTTGTTAAATCTAATAATATATATAATTGCTGAACATATTACTTGAATTTCATATCTGCTGCGTTTTGTATTGTATATGGATTCGGTAATATATAACCCTATATATATACTATATGCTTGCTTTGTTTAGTTTGTGTCTGTATTTGATTTAAAAGAGAAAACCAGCAAGGCGCTTCGTCGGAAAGTAGTTCCAATCCGTTGAAAGTCGCTTACGGATTCGCTGCCGCTTAAGTATGTTAAGCATTAAAATGTTACATAAAAGTAATTAAAAGGCGATCAATTCAAGTACGCCAACGTTGCGAAGAAGATGAACCAGCAGAGGGCGTAAAATTGCTATGGAAAGAGATGCTGGGAAAGCTCTCAGCTCTCGGCTTAAGCGAACGGCCGCCAAGCTGGGATGAACTCAAAGGCTAGCAGCAGCAGGAGGACGACGGCCAGCAGGCCTGCCCTCAGCCAGGATCATCGTCTCGCCGCCGGCCTGTCCAATTGTTAGCACTGCACCTTTCCGAACTGAGCACGCCGCTCCTGATACTCCCGGTACTCCTTATAGTGCATCTGGATCTCCTGCGAGCGATAGCGCGTTAACTTGATAGACTTTCGCATCTCCTGGGTAATTGCTGCCCGATAGCCGCCCTTGCGCAGGAGCGAATCGATGGTCTGCAGCTGATCCCAGCCCTGTTCGGTGGCTACCTGCGGCAGGTAGGTGGCCGTGCGCTTGCAGCCACGCTCCGTCAGGAACTCGATGCGAATCCCATGCACACCGAGCTGCCAATCCAGGTGTCCCTGCGCCTCCTCAAAGTTCTGTAGGATCGACACAGAGACCGTAAGCCTTGGCAGCTCGTCGCGCGAAATGGGAGCGAAGCGTGAGTCCTTAAAGGCGCTGGTCAGGGCGTACTCTCGCAGACCATGATGCAGCTCCATGGCGCTAAACGTGCCGATGCAGCCGCGTAACCGCTTGTCGCGACCAATCTTCCAGGTGACGAACAGTGGATAGGCGTCGTTGCTGAACATCGGCATCGCTGGCCCGTCCACGTTGTTCAGCTCACAGTCGAGCACCTCGAAGCAGAAGAGGCACATATCCGGCACTGCCACGCTCTTCATGCCACCGTGGCCGTTGGAGAACCCCCGCTGCGGCTGGTGCACCATCTGCTGGTGCTGGTACTCGCCGTTGTCCCCGTTGCTGGAGTGCGGCTGCTGGTAGTTGTTGTAGTGGGAGTTGGACATGCTGCTCGTTAAGTCAAGTACGCTAATTACGTTAGGTAGGCTACGATGGCTACGATGGCTACGATGGCTACGATGAGTGTATATTAAGATTATAGCTAATGGCAGTGCACGTTGATGCTCCAAGTTCAATAATAACACAACAGAACAGCCCCAGGAAGGAGTTGCACAGAAACGCCAGCCAAGCGTGTCCTCTAATCCAAGTGTCCTGTAAAGGGAATGCGAGATGTGAGTTTCGCCAATGTCGGCCCGTGGCCAGTGTGGGCGATCGCTTACCGTCTGCGGAGCAAAACTAGGTCACCTGCTGCTGCCCTCCAGTGTATGTAGTCTTTCCTGTGAAGCCTGCACCTAGCACCTTGCACCCTGAGATCCAGTTCCAGTTCCAGTTGCGGACCTCGACCTCGTCCTGTCTCCGTGTTCCTTGGCTGCCGTCCTGCTGCTTAGCTAGAGCTCATAAGCACTTCATCGAACTGCTCTCCACTGGTCCGCTGCCGCCGCTGCTTCTGCTGCGTCTGCAAACAAGGGAATGGAGGATTGGGGAGAGTGCCTTTTTTCACGGGGTCTCCACTTCGCCCGAGCGATCTTCACCTTTCGTTTCACAACAGCCTCTATCGGAATGCGGAATGCAGGGGAGAGAGTGGCGGAGAGACGGAGGAGAAAGCAGGCGAGCACTGCAGTTCTCGCTGTCTCTGTCTCACTGCCCCCTATCGCTTTAATTGCTCTTTGTTCGCATTGCCAGTTCCCCCACCCCCGCGCTGACCAAGGCCCACGCCCTCAAGCATGCACGCGGTTCTTAGTTTTGGGTGTCCTATATAGGGATTTTCGGGCACGTCAGGTGCTTTTTAAGTACTCTATTTTACCTTTTTTTAATGTAAACAAATTTTACACTTTTTTACGAGTTCAGGGCAAACTAGAGATGGGCGTTTCCACAGCCAGGGCCTCAGCTATTAATCGATTGGCGTCTATAGGATCAGCTGGCACTTTCCAACACTTTTTATCGATAGGCGCAACAACCGAAGAAGACTATAGTTTACCCCTGGAATTGTTTTATTATTATTTTTGGGTAAAAACGCAAAATGGCCTTGGCCAATGTGCTGCAGCTCAGCCAAATCGCTGGCCATGTCATCCTATTCATATTGTCGCTGTGCATCGTTGTGCCGCTGTTCATCAACCTCGACCAATTCTGGTAGGAGAGAAGTGCGCAGTTTTTGTCCCCTGCGAGTTAATAAACTTTTACTATTCCCGCAGCGGACACTGTCTACTCTTCACGACTGGCAAATGGCGGGAGGAGGACGGCATGTTCGACGTCCAGTGGGCCTCTACTGGCTTCTGCAACTTCCCGCTGATCACGGGAGTCTTCCTGCTCATTATCTCGGTGGTGCAGATATATCGGTATGTACCTGCGAAGCGCCGTTCCTCTAGGACTGCGTTCATTAAACCTCAAATCTAATCTAATCTCTGCGCTGTAGATATGCCCGAATGAAGGAGGAGGCCTCGTTTATAGCTCTGTTCATTGATGTGGTCTTGGGCATTTGGATGCTGGCCATGTCCATTTTGTCAGCCATAATCATCACGCTGGGCTTCATCGTTTGGTGCGACGGCATGACCGAGCGCTTCCCGTCCTGCGCTATTTCCGCCGGCCAGAACATCATCCGCGGTGACACCGAAAAGATTAACACTTCTGGCTTTTACATCGAAATGGGCACCACTCAGGTAAGCCAATGACACAACTCATAAAGCTCCAATTAACCTTTAATACTTTTAGTTTGGTGCCTGGGGATCGTTCGCAATATCCGTTGGCATCGGCGTCATCGCATTGTTAAAGCTCATCGACAACCATCAGGTGCGCAACATCAAGGTGTCCATGTATTTGGAGCGCCAGCGTCTGGTGAATCAGCAGCAGTACGACGGCAGGTCAACTCCCCCCATTGCCTCGAACATCTCGTCCGACTCAGAGCAGAACAAATAGTTGGCGTTTGTTGTCAGCAATAGCCAGCAATTCGTAATTCTCTACGTATTCCTCATGATTTGCGTTTTAATCATTATCTGTCATTTGGTCCTCGTCCTTATCATCGAGGCAGAAACCCATCAGCGACACAACCTTTATATGTAGCGCAGTTTAAAAGCTAATATGTGAGCACTTACTAAAGATATTAGAGCTATGATTGAGCCAAGTTTACGTGATATGTATTGTATATATGTATGTATTTAATCGAATATTCCATGTTACTCATAGTAAAATAAAATTATGATTATTTAAAGGATTTGTTTGAGTATAAGGAACTGGTGTATTGTGATTTTGATTTTTGCAAATTTATACTAAATCTATTTGTTATACGACTTTTAATTTTAAGTAATTTATGAACAGGTATTCACATCCTACTGGTCACCTTCTGTTTAACTAAAGTGCTCTGATTGTATGGAAATTATTAGATTTGAACTGAAGACCGTAATGGCCAACCAGCTGATGTATGTCAAGGAGGACCTGGTACTGCCGCACCATTACTCCTTTGACGACTTTATTGTAACTAAGGCCCGCGGTAAGTCCGGTCCGCTCTCCCAGCTCGACGTGCGCATTATCAGCGATGCATCTGTCGAAAAAGAGGAGACGCACGCTGGCAAGGTGCTCCGCCGATCCTGGTACGAACGAAACAAGCACATCTGCCTAGCCCCGGCTCGACGTTATTTAAGCAGACAAATTCAATAATTATACCAGGCAAACAGAAACAGCTGGCAGCAACTCAGCAGCAGCACAACAGCACGTGCTGATTATAACGGATCTTTTCAACTTTCTTAATGGCTCCCTTTGTTTACGTTTGAATTGACCAATCATAGAGGTTGCTAAAGGACTTTAATGGCCGCCCTTTGTTTACATTTGAATTTAATCTAATGGCCGCCCTTTGTTTACATTTGAATTGACCAATTAGAGAGAGGTTCTTCACGTTCCTCTCTTTGAAGATCCGTTATTTTATGACATTTGTATCAGCGGATCAGCTGCTTGCTGAACGTTCTGTTTGCCTGGTACATAGAGGCTCGAGTTGAATAGCGAATTTCGTTATTTCAGCTACGTGTGTTGTTGGATTGTTGTTATTTCTTCCAAAAATGGGCTGTAGTCAGCCTAATTCAACCAGGCAAACAGAAACAGAGGGCAGCAGCAACCCAGCAGCACAACAGCACGAGCTGTTTATAACGGATCTTTTCAGCTTTCTTAATGGCCGCCCTTTGTTTACGTTTGAATTGACCAATCAGAGAGGTTCTTCTCGTTCACCTCTTTGAAGATCCGTTACTTCAGGACTTTTTAATGGCCGCACTTTGTTTACATTTGAATTTAACCTAATGGCCGACCTTTGTTTACCTTTGAACTGACCAATCAGAGGAGGTTTTTTAAGTTCCTCTCTTTTAAGATCCGTTATTTTAGAACTTTTTAATCAACTAAATAGCTGCTTGCGGAGCTTTCTGTTTGCCTGGTACACAAAACCAAGAATTTAAGAAATTTGTATGGGGAATACGCCAAATTGGATTTCCGTTTTGTTGTTGGATTTGTTATTTTTAACAGTTCAAATTCAAAGTTTCTTTTTCTTTTCTTTTAACATCATCGACAAACACAGTATGCAGATTTGTAAGCGATTTCAAAACTATCGCAAAACAGCTTTTCGAATTGAAATTAAATATGATGCCTGTTTTTCCGAATTAAAATGAATGCTATTTTGGCTTAATTATGATGTTTGGAAAACTCCGATTATTTAAGAAAATTGTTTGTTTTTATACCTTTTTTCGGAATATAGCTTCAATCAGAAGATTAAAACGCAGTGAAGGAATCATTTCCGACCCTATAAACCATATATATTCTTGATCAGCATCAACAGCCCAGTCGTTCTAGCCATGTCTGGTCAAAAAATAAATTTTTGCATTTTTCCGAAAATTGAACATTTTACAAGGGGTTACATCATTAAAATTGCCAAAATTTGACAACAAATTGAATTTTTTTAATTTAAAAACTGAGTATGCAGCTTTGTTAATCTACTAAAAAATAGCATTGAACAGCTTTCCGAATTAAAATTAATGATTTTTTGGCTTAGTTATGAGTTTTTTAAAACTATGATTTTTGGGAAAAATTTTAAGTTTTTATGCCATTTTGGAGGTTTTTATTGTTTTAGTCAGAAACTTTTAACAGCATCAACAAACGCAGTATGCAGATTTGTTAGTGCTATAAAAAGTTTCACAGAAAAGTTTTCCGAATCAAAATGAATGCTATTTTGGCTTAATTATGATGTTTCTGAAACTCCGATTATTTCAGAAAATTGTCTGTTTTTATACTTTTTATCGGAGTATAGCTTCAATCAGAAGATTAAAACGCAGTGAAGGAGTCATTTTCGACCCTATAAACCATATATATTCTTGATCAGCATCAACAGCCCAGTCGTTCTAGCCATGTCTGGTCAAAAAATAAATTTTCGACATTTTTCCGAAAATTGAAAATTTTATAAGGGGTTACATCATTAAAATTGCCAAAATTTGACAAAAAATTGAATTTTTTATATTTAAAAACTGAGTATGCAGCTTTGTTAATCTACTAAAAAATAGCATTGAACAGCTTTCCGAATTAAAATTAATGATTTTTTGGCTTAGTTATGAGTTTTTTAAAACTATGATTTTTGGGGAAAATTGTCTGTTTTTATACCTTTTTGCGGGGTTTTTATAATTATAGTCAGAAACTTATAACAGCATCAACAAACGCAGTATGCAGATTTGTTAGTGCTATAACAAGTTGCACAGAAAAGTTTTCCGAATCAAAATGAATGCTTTTTTGGCAAATTTATGATGTTTGGAAAAGTCCGATTATTTAAAAAAATTGTCTGTTTTTATGCCTTTTATCGGAGTATAGCTTCAATCAGAAGATTAAAACGCAGTGAAGGAGTCATTTTCGACCCTATAAACCATATATATTCTTGATCAGCATCAACAGCCCAGTCGTTCTAGCCATGTCTGGTCCAAATATAAATTTTTGAAAACTGAGTATGCAGATTTGTTAATCTATTAAAAATTAGCGCAGAACAGCTTTTCGAAATGAAATTAATGATTTTTTGGATAAGTTATGAGTTTTTTTTAACAATGATTTTTGGGAAAAGTTGTCTATTTTTATACTTTTTTTCTTGGTTTTATAATTTTAGTCGAAAACTAACAATAGGACCAACAAACACAGTATGCCGATTTACTAGTGCAGCACAGAAAAGCTTTCCGAATTATATATTTTCTATAAATTGTCCGATTGTTTCTGTGACAGCTATACGATATAGTCGTCCGTTCTGACCCGTTCTGAGAATATATATAAGGCTATCTCAAAAGTTTCACAGATTGCTTTAAAAATGGCATATTAGACGGACGTGACTAGATTAACTCGGCTCTTAATGTTGATTAAGCAATCATTTATAGGGTCGGAAAAACCTTCTACATTGCTTTGCAAACTTCTGACTAAAATTTTAATACTCTACAAGGGTCTAATAATACGGGAATAAACTTTTAAAACTTAAAAAAATAAGGAAATGTTTATATTATCTTTTATTTTAAGTTTTATACGTAGTTTTGCATGTATAGAAATAGGTAAATACTTACTTCTTCCTTAACTAAGGACTCCTTTAAAAAAAACCCCTCCAATTAAACAATAAAAAATCTGTTATATCAGTTACATTTATTTTGCAGTTATCTTTTGTTTGTTGTGTGTGTTGTTCTTGTTGTTTGTTGATGTCATTCGAATGTGTGTCGTAATGCCAACGGATTTGGGTTTTTGGATTTCACGTTTGCATTGCAACAAAATGTTCTTATAGACTTTAAAGCGACGCTATTGTACATTTTATATATTAAATTCCGTATTTGCTTGCGTAGTCTGTTACAATTCAATTAACAATTTCATAAAGATTCTCGGTTAGCATCCGTGCGGTGCTTTCGTTCCCAAAATTCAATCTTTGCCTGCATCGAGTTGTCTCAGTTTCTTAATGTGGAGCAAAAAATGGTGGAGATTTACTTTTTTAGGTATAGAGAAAAATAGTTACTTGTACATTTATGAATCTCTCTGCAATACAGGACACTGTATCCTGTATCTGTATCTGCATCTACGACTGCGCTTGGATTCTTTGGTTTTCGGTTTCTTTTCTGTTTTCTGGCATTCATGAAACAATTTTATGTGGCTTGAGTTGGCTTTGGTTTTTGGTTCTCTTACAGCTAAACACTACATCAATGTATGTACTATAATTAGTATTTTTAGTTGTTGGTATTTTTGGTTTTTCTTTTCTTTTTCTTTTTCTTTTGTTGGTAATTATGTTTTGGATTTCTTTGAATAGCATATTATAGTAATTTTCTTTTAAACTTACACTAACTTCCTTTCGGTTTTGGTTTCATTTTCTTTTTGTTTTTTCGTTTAAATACAATTAAAAAACATAACGCAAGGTGGATAAAAAACGATGTGCAGTGTGTTCTTGTTGCGGTGTCTGTTGTTTGTACGAAATGAGGCATTATTTAATCCAAACCTCCTGCGGGCTGCGTTTCAATTTGCTGGGGGCTAATCGGTCCAGGCCATGCCATCGTTGGATTAGGCATCCTGGAAGGGTGGTTCGGATGACGGCGCCGCTGGCCACTGGCGCTGGCTGCCACGCAATCTGGGATCCATCTGGTGTGTCTCGAATTCGGAAAGCAAGATTTTCGCGAAATGTCAAACGTAAAAAAATGTGGCTCTGGCGCGTGTGTATTTTCATCGATCCATTGCATGGCCGCCAGCTGGGGGCCATGGGGGCGCCGCCTCCGATCCCTGTCAGCGGCAGGGACGCAGTCACGGAAATCGGTCGAGTGTGTGTGCTCCGATTAACCCCCCGCATTGAGCCCCGTAATCGCAGCCGGTCGAGGAGGTTTGCTGAACGCAAGCTGGTGAGTTAAGCTCAAACGCGCCCCGCTGCCACCACCCCACCGCCCCACGTCCGCCAGTTTTTGGGGGCCGGGAGGCGGGGCCAGCAGCGGGACTCGGGATTGGATTTTGATGGGCACTGCCATGCGATTTCCGTGACGCTTCACGGCAGTGCTTGTGCCTGTTGCGGGAAAAACTCGGTCTGTTCGTGGCGTGTCCTTATCGGCGTTGTGTGACTTCTGTGTGGGCGGCCGGGCGCGTCCGGGTGCGTCCCGCTCGGTGTTGACGGTCGCCAGCGGCTAGTCCGGCTCCGGTTATCCCCGCACCCGGTCGCGCCGCGTCGTCGCTTAGTGTTGTGTGCCAGGA